ATAATTTAGGAAACTGTGATGATGTTTTCAGATGACAATCCAGGAAGCAGAATAATCACTACTTTGATTGCTGACGTATTATTACAGCTCCTGGTATGCCCCGCGGAGGACATTAAGGTCCACAAATGACAACACTTTGGAGGTCCCAAGTCACAAGGTGGTTAGATTGGTCTCAACTAGGGGCAGGGCCTTTTCAGTACTGGCCCCAACTTGGTGGAACACTCTGTCACAAGAGACTAGCGCCCTGTGGGACTTGACATATTTCGGCAGGGCCTGCAAGACAGAGCTGTTCCGCCTGGCCATTGGTTTGGACTCAGTCTGACCCTTATGTTTCCTTGCCCTTATGGTTTTGATCTATGGGCTACTATTAAAATGAGGCTGCATTTTAAATTGTATTTTAACCCTTATTTTAAATTGGTTTCCCCCCCCATTATGTTTTTATTGTAATTTTACTGGTGTTAGCCGCCCTGAGCCTGGCTCTGGCTGGAGAGGGCGGGGTATAAATAAAAAAATATTATTCTTATTATTCTTATTATCATCTTCTTTTTATGTACACAAAATAATTCTGCTCTTGTGATGGTGCTCCTCCAAAGTGGGTAGGACAAAAATGTAAGGAGGACTTTCAGATATGCAATACGTCAGCAGCATTGATGGAGAATACAGCATTGAGTTTAATGACTGGTTGGAAAGGTCAATGCCATCAATGAGAAATTATAAGGAACTGCCCAGAGTTCTTTTATCTATATGCCTGGCATGATTATTTCCCATAAAATTAGCAGCAAAGCTAACCTAGTAAATATATGTTGCCATCAGTTATGGAGAACAGAATGTATGGATTAACTGACTGACTGATTGGACAGGTCAATTGTCTCAAGTAGGGACCTGCAATTACAGAGGACTACCCACAGTGCACTTCTTTCTTTCACATATCTAGCATAACTATTTCTTGTAAAAATGAGCAGCACAAAATTAGCACATATGTTCTTGAGTGTTGGGGAACAGGCTATTTGCCATGAACCCCCTGACATACAAACACACACATATATGCTCACCCAATCTCCCATCACCTGTGGCACTAGGGTTTGCCCAGGAAGGAGAGGAGAAAGGTGTTGATAAAGACTCTCCTCCCCGAAGGGGAGGGGAGGGGTTGTGGTCGGGGCTCGAGCTCCGGCTAGCAGGGGGCGGGGCCCCCTGCTGCCCACTCACCTGGCTGGCGCTCACGCCCCCTCGGTGGCCATCCAACCGGGGGCCACGGTGGGGGCGTGTCCAGCAGCATTTTGCTGCAGAGCCAGCCTTCCCCCGGCCTCATTCTTCCTTCCTTCGCCCCTCGCGAGTCACCCACCCTCCACTCCCTTTAGTTAGGGCTCGGGTTTTTCGGCCTTGCTATGGACCTTAGGTTGGTCGCCCTGGTTGGCTGGGGGGCCTGGTAGGAGTTTTTCCATTTGGCACTAGGCTAATTGGTTTTTTCGCCTACCTCGTAGCAATCGTCACAACTTTTGTGGTATTGGTGGGTAGGTTAGGCATTGGAATAATGTGTTGCGCTGTGTGGAAGTGCTAGGTGTGGCCATCGCCTATGCCTTCAATTTTTAGGGGTATTCCGTTAAAGGAATCTGGGGGTCGTGTATTCCGTCCGATGCCTGCTTGGCGGGAGGCCTTGGCACGACCCTCGGTGACAGCAGGGGTGAGCCTATAGTCGGATTGGCATCGACAGGCTCCACCTACTGGTGAAGAACCCACTTGTTTCGATCCAATGCCTAAGCCAATACCTTTTAAATGCTGTAACCAATAAAGTTGTGGCCTTTTCCTAGCCCATTGACCTTATATCACGTGTCCTTGTGTCTTCATTTCACTTCACCGGGGTCGGGTCCTCGAACCACAACAAGACTGCCATGGGGCAACTAGACTGCAACACCAGACTGGATCTGACAGTGAATTTGAATTGTGCTTACCTTGCCGCAGTTGCAACCCTCCCCCCTCCTGGTAAATTGCAGCAATGCTGATGATGAAAGGCCAGTTTGGCGATGGTGCCCCTCTTTCCTACTTCTCTCTCTACATTAGAGGTAGTTAGACAGGATGTCCTCCAGATGGCTGAGCTTAGGAGGCCCATGGTCTCTAAGCCATTGGGTTAAAGCAGGGGTGGGAACCTGTGGTGCCTCAATTGTTAATGACCTCCTCATCATGAGTTCTGCAACACCTGCTTCCTGCTTTGTCTGGCCTGTTCCCACCTGGCCTGAGATGGTGGCGCTTTGACTGAATCAAAGCACAAAGGCTAATTATGCTGCTCAGGATGCCTAGAAATCTTCAGAGTAGGATTTTGTTTAGGGGCTGCTGCTTGGATTAAGATTTAGCATTGAAGGTGTATGATTTTTCTGTTATCTGGATTAGGTTATTGTCATTATTGTTATTATTAGAATTTATGATGGATTATCAGTGGACTCTGATTTTATTGTATGTTTATTACAGTATTTTTAATTAGCAAAAAAAAATAGTGATAAACAGTAAGCTAAGTTTTGTAAGTGAATTATGTAAACTGTTGTTTTTTAGTAGAAGAAGAAGAAGAAGAAGAAGAAGAAGAAGAAGAAGAAGAAGAGGAGGAGGAGTTTGGATTTGATATCCCGCTTTATTACTACCCTAAGGAGTCTCAAAGTGGCTAGCATTCTCCTTTTCCCTTCCTCCTCCACAACAGACACTCTGTGAGGTGAGTGAGGCTGAGAGACTTCAAAGAAGTGTGACTAGACCAAGGTCACCCAGCAGCTGCATGTGGAGGAGCGGGGAATCAAACCCGGTTCACCAGATTACGAGTCCATCGCTCTTAACCACTACACCACACTGGCTGTGTATGTGTGTGTTTGTCTGAGTATGGTTTACTATGGAAAGGCAGCATACAAATAAATTGCTGGGATGCTGGGATTTGTAGCTCAGCAACAGTGTTGGAGCAACATGTTGGCTACCCCTGTCATATACAATCCCTTACGCTTGTTCTAAATGTTTCTAGTATAATTAACATTGGAATAAACTTAGCTGATATATTTATTATCTACTTGTACACCAGCTTTTCTCCTTCACAGTATTTTCAATAACATTACTGAGTTCTGAAAACTACCTTGTATTTCCTAACTGCTTATATTCCTGCCAAGTCCAAATAAACCGCAGAACTATTATAAAACAAAATGCAGAGTTATAAGCCCCAAAGTATAAATAAATTTATATGCTAAAATCAACAGATTTGTATAAAACAGATATATGCATAAAAGTAGCTACAACGAACCCAACAATTTCCTTAACTTTATTTCTGTTCTTTATTCATAACCGTTATTAAATACTGCTCATTATTTTCTTATTATAGACTCAACCCCAGATTGTCCTCCTCTGAAATTTCAGCAAGATTCATGTGGCTGCAGCATCTGCAATAAGCATTATCTACATAATGTTGCATGCAGGGCTTTTTTTCCAGCCGGAACTCACTGGAACTCAGTTCTGGTACCTCTCAGGTGGGCGCCATTGCCATTATAAGAGAACAAGGGAGGCATTTGTGGCGAGTTCCAGCACCTCACCTTAGAAAGATAGCACTGGTGGCATTGTTAGATGTTGCCTTCCCATCAGCAGGAAGCATCAGCTTCCTAAAAGATGTCCCACAATTAATGGAGGAAGATTGCTAAGTACAATTTGGGTAGAGTGTCATAAGCAAACATACTACACAGTTCTGGATAGTCAATTCAGTTTCAGAAAGGCACAATATACTATGTATATATTCACACAATCACTCACAGATATCATGGAAGAGACATAACAGCTTTAAGGTCTACTACCTTTCACATTAGAACACAAGGATGGGGACCTGCCCACGCAACATGTTACTGAACTCCAACTGTCCCAGGCATCTTGGTTAATTGTTGGGCATGCTGGAAACTCTAACCCAACTATATCTGCAGGGCCACAGCTCTCCCAGCCCTGTTTTAACACATATATGAATGTATACACTGCAATATGCAAATCAAGAAGGGAGTAAAATGAAAGCTTGATGCGATCAAAGTGACAGTCTTTTCCACCCAAAAATAACATGCAAAATGTCTAAACATCTAGATAGGATTTTAAAAAATATTCCTCAGTCATTCTTTCCAAAATGAAAACAATTTTTTTTTTCTTCCAGTAGCACCTTAAAGACCAACTAAGTTAGTTCTTGGTATGAGCTTTCGTGTGCATGCACATGAAAGCTCATACCAAGAACTAACTTAGTTGGTCTTTAAGGTGCTACTGGAAGGAATTTTTTTTGTTTTGACTATGGCAGACCAACACGGCTACCTATCTGTTTCCAAAATGAGTTCATGATAGTCATGAATCAAGCCCACAGTTGAGCTGGAACTGATGACCAGACAGGAATTTTACACTCGCTTCTGATACTTTGAACTATTGTGTTCTCATAACAAAAGAAAATAGGTCCTGTGAGACACAAGCCTACCCAACCCTCAATAAATCTACATTGTATTCCAGTGCAATGCCTCCTTGGTCACACAATATAATCTCCAATCCCCATTTCTTTCTGAGTATAGACTGGGAGGTCATGGATACTGTAGTCAAATAAACATGTTACTCATGTCAAATAAGTATGTTTGAACTAATATATTTTTGCCAGCCTCCCCCCATTTGAGAAATTGGAAATGCTCTTTCTGTGACATTTTGCAGAGGGATTTCCAAGTCAACACATCCAGGAAATGTAAATTTGGGTGTACATATGGGAAGATAACTGGGAAGCTAATAATTAGTGAAACTGGTTACATGCATGTGTGTATAGAGGAGATGTAAGCTTTCTAAGAAAAATGTTATATATTTGCTAAGTATATTATGTTTTATAGGTTTCATACATGTTATGAATGCTCTTAACAAATTGGATATTAGTTTAATAAGCAGTTGTTTCTTGTTGTTCTGATAACTGTGTGCCCCAGAGTGTTAGATTGTTTGCAGCACATACGACATTTGCAAGAAGAAAAGATGTTTGTTACCTTTCCAACATACTGAGGATCTGGTCCAAAGTGCTCTTCTAAAACAAAGAACTGGTTCCAAACCCATCCACGTTTGGGACGATGGTGAACTTCCGTTTCCCCCTCTATATGTTTAGTTTGGTTTCTGGTCACCTTGATGGAGCCATGATGTGCAGTTCCACAACACCTCTGCACAAAACAGAGACAAACTAGGACTGGGCAGATACAAGATGTGCTCGTAATTCTCATTGTAGGATCGCTTTCCAGTTCAAGGTGTTTTCTTCCCCTTTCACCTCTTTTGCCTTCCCGCTATAATCTGTTAGTAGGCTCCCATGGAAGAAGGAAATAACTGATTTAACAAAACAGTCCAGAAAGTTTCTTTTAGCCTGTCCATGGTTCAGCTCCTCATTGGTCAGAGACTGGGTTCATTTACATCATGAAAAGCAAAGTGAGGAAGAGGCTGGGGTTTATTCTGTGATCTTCACAATTGACTGTTGGAGCCACACATTTTATACCTAATGGAAAGAAAAGGAGAAAGAGAGAGAGGGGAGAAAAAACACTTTATCACATCGCTAAGAACAGTAATTTCAGATTTTTGACCTGCAGTAATGATGTACTTATTACCACATTAACAGGTTCTGCCAAGAGAATGCCCTGCAGCAACCAACATTCTTTTTAACCTTTTATAGAAACTGTGTGTGTTTATGCATCTAAAAATTAGTGCAGTGTTTCAATAGGTGCAGATGGCAAGAGCGGACTAGCACAATATCTTGCAAGTGTGTGAAGCTTTGATACAGGAAATTTATTTTATGTTTTATTTATGAAGATTTATAACCCATCCAGAGCCCTGCAGCTCAGGCCAGCTAATACAATTTCCTTATCTCGTGCATTCTTCACGAACCTTGTCAAGTAGGCTGCTTTCTAATCACGCTCCCATGAGTGCAGTTCATGCCATTCCATCTCAAGAGAGATTAGTAGTACTAGGGAAAGTGCAGAGACACTCAGAACAAATACCCTGGGATGTATCACACTTTCCACATTAGCACAATATGGCTGAGGTCTATAAAATCTTGCCCCGCAAATCGCAAGCACTTGTGAACACCTTGTTATTTGAGTGATCTTGTCTTGTCAGGCCTGTGAATTGATTTGCAGACCACTTGGTCAGATTAGCACCCCTTGCCCTTGCCACCAGGAGATGACTCCTTGGCCATCCCATCGTCCTGCGTCACAAAAAAAATATATAGTTCTGCTAGTTCCTGCTGACAAATCATACTTTTCAGGGCACCTGGGGAGAGAGAGAGAGACTCAGATCCTGGGACACAAATTTCCTGCATTGGAATGTTTTGAGTATCGATACACAGAGAATGCATGCAGAGCACTGTTTCTTTTTCATGAAGCATTTTTTTTGGGAAAGGGCAGGCTTTCTGGGTTGGAGTTGGTCTTAGCAGCTGTAAGACCATGGACAGGCAAATTAAGGCCCGGGGGCTGGATCAGGCCCAATCGCCTTCTAAATCCAGCCCTTGGACAGTCCGGGAATCAGCCTGTTTTTACATGATTAGAATGTGTCCTTTTATTTTAAAGGCATCTCTGGGTTATTTGTGTGGCATAGGAATTCATTCATTTTCCCCCTTCAAAATATAGTCCGGCCCCCCACAAGGTCTGAAGGACAGTGGACCGGCCCCCTGCTGAAAAAGTTTGCAGACCCCTGTGTAAGACTGCTCCCTACTCCAATACAACAGGAAAATGATTATTACATGCACACACATAGACAAACATACACAGCACCTGGTTGGGAAAAGAGAATTCATACACACACACACACACACACACACACATATGTATGTATTAGAAAGGGAAAAAACAAACAAACCACTGTGTGGAAGACATTTTGTAATTCTGATAACTGTATTTACTAGAATGTCAACCACAATAATGTCATGGATCTGTACTAATCAAAAGCTCCTGTAAGAAATCAGGGAGGGTGAGGGATTGGCAACTGTGTTGAAAACAACTCAACGGTGATAAGGGGAGGTGGTAGCTTTTTTGGGGGGTATGACATCCCTACCTTTCAGACCCCAAACACACTGTATGCCCCCCTCTCTCTCTGATGCCAGGTTGCTGAGTACTTCTAGGAAACAGATATTTCTAAGAGGAGATTATGGAACTGTGTTGGGTTTTTGTGTGTGTGTGTTTGGCAGGAGAAGAAAGATGCAAATATTCTGGAGAGAGAGATGAGAGTTGGGAAAGAAAGAGCATAATACTCTTGTCATCCTGCAAACACACACACAGAGAGATGCCTTAAAATCTAGCAAAAGCAACTGCTGCAGGAAACAGGTTGTCATGTGCAGGCCTCCTACACCCATGGGTGCCATTATCTTATGGTAATCACACCTCTGCCCTTCGTAGTGAATTGTTTAACAATCTAATGTGACAAAAGAAGGGGAATGATATAATATACTCAATACCCACTGGAACGAAGTTTGAAGAAACTCATCTTTCCAGGGTACTCCTGGTCAGGTTCTTGAAAACGAGGAAGACAAGTCACAGGAATATGCAGGCCTCAAAGTGCCCCAGTTCCAGCATGGCTTATGAATTTTTCTCTCTTGTTCTGTACACAAGCTTCAAAATGAAGATTCCCACTGGAACATGAGGCGCTTTTGCAGTGTTTGTACTGCATCCAAGTACAGTTCCATCAGGCAGCAACAGGGCAGAGAGCAAACACCAGCTCAATCCTTTTCTGCTAACTGCTAATTAAGGAGCAAAACACCCCCAGAGATGCACAGATTTTTCCAATACAAAACAAGTTACAACATAATTTTGGCGCAAGAGCTTCCGCCAAAAGGAAAGAGGAAAAAATAATTATCTGGATCTACATCTTTATAAATTTGCTTGTGCAACTTCACACACAACAACCATCCCTCTGACAACTGCCCCACAAAACAAGTTATTCTTTCCACATAATTAGTCTTATAGGATTGTTCCTGCTACGACTCGACCAGGACTTCACAATTCTGTGGCTCACTGCTGCATTGGGTGGGAGGGAGGCTTAAACTAAAGATGAAGCTAGCAATATTGATTGCATGTGATCTGCTTTCCAGGGAACACAAAATACTGTATTAACCTAGATCATTTAATCATTTGAAACCAGTATTATATCTGAGGTGAGAAGAGCAAGGGCTCAGTCACATCTCCCTATCCCTTTTCCAATAAATATTCAACACATTATTATCAATAATAAAACCAGCAGCACTCAAAGGTTACGAATGGGAGTTATTTCAATCACTGCATGGGTGAGAAGATCTTAAATAATTCAGCTGTTCTACTTTCCTTTTCCTTTTGCACAACCAACACAAAATTACTTCTCCCTAAGCCAAGAACAAATAGAATATGAACACTTGATATTAACTTCTACAAAACGCCATGGAAGAGACACCATTCAGTTCCAGTTCTCTTGGACAAACAAGACTTAATAGATAATCTACATCTTCTTCTTTCATGTGCGGGATCACAAATTACACAGAGGAAACATCAGAGCTAGTAACCTGGAGACAGGAAAGCAGTTCAGTAGACCCTGGCAAGTTTTCCAGAGGAAACAGGCCAAAGTCAGTAGTGATGTGTTCGCAACTCCTTGTGTCATGTGATTTTGCTGGTCTGAAAAGTTGCAATATGCCCTCTGACCATCTAGATCAGCGGATCTCAACCTGTGGGTCCCCAGATATTGTTGGACTACAACTCCCATCATCCCTGAGCTCTGGCCTTGCTAGCAAGGGGTGATGGGAGTTGTGGTTCAACAACATCTGGGGATCCACAGGTTAAGAAAGGCTGATCTAGATGGTGCTGCTGCTGCAGAGGAGCAAGGATCTAAACTCTACTACCAACAAACTGCTCTGGTGATGCAGGAAGAAGTGCACCTGGGCCTCACTGTCACAGTCCCCAGTCTAAGGTTGACAGCACCAGCCATGGCTTCCCTGACAACAAGTATGGTTATATGATGCATGAGTTTCCAATCACATGTTTTCCCCACTCACACTTGATATCATTAGGCATGAAACCTAACCATGTTGTGCAGCAAGAAGACAGAAAATAATAATTGTTGTACAGCTCTATTACAATCGACAGAAATGTATATAGAAATTCACATAGACAGCAGACCTATATGAAGTGTCCTAGGACAACTCGTACTCCAGTTACTCCACATGCCTTTGCACCTAAGTCCTTTTCAGACAACCAACACAGTTTGACTGAATGTTTGAGGGATCCTGATAACATTGACAAGCTGAGCAACATACTTTGTATTCACATTACGTCTGATATCACAATCTATTTAATGTGCTGAAATATGTGGTGGCCACCACAATCCTGAGCCCTCCCAGCGCACATTTATTGCCAGACACCTCATACAAGCAGGTACACCTACAGAACATATGTCAGAGAGAAACACACTATGAGCAAAACGTTAGGGACCCAGGGACTTGGACTGATATCACTCACCAGGTGTCCTACTTAGCACTGCCTTCTACGCTGTCCCAGCATGAAGACACTACTCTCCCATCATTGTCAGTCTGTGAGGATGACCCTCCTGTACTTCTCTTCCTCCACACCTAGACAAGACCATGCAACTGCAGAATCAGTTCTGGACCCTTTAAAGCAGGTTTGGGGAACTTTGGGCCCTCCATAAATTGCTGAACTACAACTCCCATCATCCCTGGCCGTTGGCCATGGTTGCTGTGGCTAATGGGAGTTGTAATTTAGCAACATCTAGAGGTACAGTAGTTCCCATCCCTGCTTTAAAGTTCTCTCAAAGTGGTGGAGTCACTGGAAGGGAATGCCCTGCCATGCTTCTTAACCCTTCTGAAACCTGATAACTATGTCCTTTCACACATCAGCCAGCAGGAATCACTGGGAGCTATCCATGGTTCTGATATGCCTTGCCTTGTGCTGAGCCACACTTGGACTTGGACTTGCCACCTTGTGATATGCCTGCATCATCTGCAGGCGCCAAACCTTAATAGAATAAGGTACAAAGACATGTTACAGTATTTGGGGAAACCACTTCCAGAAGAGGCTCCTGGGAATGTAGAAGCACAAGATGGGTGGATGCGTAACCCTTTCCTCACTCATATTTTCCCTGCTCCAACCACCCCTTCACAGTATCTTTGCACCCACAAAGTTTCAGATTTGTTTCTCTCATCCACCTTTCCATCCATGAACAGATTCAAATGACTAAGCTCAATTATCACTATGTGGTGCATTCAAAGACCATTATACCAGTAAAGCTTTTGTCTGATTGCTCTGTGTTATGGACAGATCACATTTTTATAGCACTTTGAGGAGACTCTCTTCCCCTCCCTCCTTTGTGTTTACTTCACTGTGTGCTAAAATTGGTCTGGTTGCAAAATGGAGCAATTTGGCAGCTGCATTACCACTATGCAGGTGTAATACGTGAATAGGTGAACAGACAGGTGAATAAACACAATCTTAGAAGTATTGTACAATGAAACAAATGCTATAAATA